GCTGAAGTCATGAGAGTTAAACTTTTTATATATAATATGTGAGGTGTTTTTTTGATTGTTACCTATTTATTATAAGAAACTTTTTAAAACAAGGTGTTCAAGGCATTTTATAAATAAAATCACTGGGAAAATAAATTAATCCAAATGATCATAAGATGAAAACAATTTATACAGAAATTAAGTTTAATTAATTTCCATTTATCAAGGAAGCTGAAACATTGATAACTGATAAAAAAAAATTATTTATTTTTCAAAATTGCTCCTCCTCCGTCACTTTCCAAACTTTTTCCTCGCTAAAGTTTTCTGCAGCACTGATCAGGCATTTTACAAAAGTCATGTAATGAGTAATTTGTTATGGTCCAGCTACATTATACGTATATATGTATATTATTCATTACACATTTATATATATATATATGTATGTATAATGAATGCGTGATCTTGCATATTGCTTATTCATGGTGCCCTGCTAACATTGGCCACCTCCACAGCCTCCTGCTGTTGCTGTGTCATCCCACCACTAACCAGAGCACCAGCATGGAGCTGCACTGTAAAGACAACAAGATTAACTATTTAAAGGGTTTACACAACATTTATATTTTTATGTCTTCACTCGGAGTTTAAAAGCATGATAAGCTTCAGATCCTAAGGGAAAATATAAGAATTTTCACTGTGACAGAAACCAGTGACATGACATGAACAGATGCACGGAATTGACAAGAAACAAAAACAACTTTAACAAACAAAACATTTGAAAATGCACTGAAGTGCAAAGTGACTTATGGCTTATCAAGCTAATAGAACAAGAGTCTGCAGCCATGCCAGCAGCTCTGTGAGGCTGTACTTAGGCAGAGGGATGCCTTGAGTTAAAAGCTAACTGCAGCATGCTGACATGCTCACAGTGGCAACGCTAAGACGCTGATGTTCAGTAGGTAAAATTATCACTATCTCAGTTAAGCATGCTGACATTTGCTAAGAAGTATTAAACATAAAGTACAACTGAGGCCAATGGGAGTGTCATTAGTTTAGCAAATATTTAAGAAATTTACATCTTGCAGTCATTTTCACTGTTATTACATTTGTGTGTGAGACAGGTAAAACAAACCACAGTCATAAGGTAAATATGCCTAACCCACAAAATCCATGGTGACACATACACAACTGAGGTGTAGTATAGGAGTACATTAAGTTAGGCTACGCTCCGTGTGTTGATCACAGCCAACTGAGGTAAACACCTGACATTTCACCTGTGTAATTATCCTAAATTGAGTTTTTTTTAGAATTTACTGCATGATAAACCTTCATCACCCTGACTTGTGTCACTTGATAAAATGTATAGCATGAATTGACATAATTAAAGTTTGTAGACTGAGGGGATGTGGTGTTGATTTTCTCATCAGTCCAGCGATGACTCGGCTACATATGGGTTTGTTTTTTTGTGTTGTTTTTGTTGCAGTTGTTGTTAATTCATTTTTTTTCCTCATTGGGAAGAGGCATTACCAGCTGGTGAACAGCTTTATTTTCTTTCACAGTTTCATTTCACACCAGCTGCTGTTCTATATTTTCAGCATCTCATTTATTGTTTTGAGATGATCACCATGTGAACACTTTTATCTGCTACAGAAATCTGCATTTTTTCTTAAGGGGTTTGAACGTGTGTGTGTGTGTGTGTGTGTGTGTGTGTGTGTGTGTGTGTGTGTGTGTGTGTGTGTGTATGTGTTCATACTTATCTATTCACGCCTATTCACAGAAAGATCAGGATAACTAAGTCTGATTGAATGACGCAATGAATCAACATTTTAAAAAAAAGGTGATACATACTTTAAGAATATAGAACATAGTTTACACATATATTTTACAGACTGCGCGTGAAATTTGGGTAATTTTTTTCTTAACAGACTTCTTCAAAGACTTTCAGTGAATCAGCAGCTCCAAAAGAACATTTCAAATATCTTTACTGAGAACATTTACCAGATCTCAGGATCTGAAGTAACTATCTCTTCCAGTATCAATTTGGACATTATTCAACATCAGATAAAATGAGGGAGTTAGAGAGAAAATGAATGTTACTTGAGCCATCCAGTGGCCACTTTACATAAAGGACGGCTATTTGAAATGCCAGAAGGTCATGCTTACATTTTTATATCACAAAGCCGTCTCCATCTTCTCCTGCTCTCATGGTGAAACAGTTAGCTAAAGAAAGTGGTGGAAAAGGGATTCAGATCCTTTCCTCGAGTAAAAGTACTAATACTACACTGTAAAAACACTCGGGTGCATTGAAAATTTTACTTAGATTAAAGTATTTAAGTATAATCAGGAAAATGTACTTAATTATTAAAAGTAAAAGCACTTACTGCAGGAACTATCCCGTGTACTGTTACTATTATTAATAATAGTAATAACATTATATCGGTAGATTATTATTACTCATTAATACTGCATTCATGTAAAAGCAGATTTTTAACTGCGGGTTTAGGTGGAGCGTATTTTGAACTCTTTTGCATTGGACTGCAATTAATGATCATTTTCTCCATTAATCGATTGATTGTTTGGTTTGTAAAAATTCTGAAAGTAGCAAGAACTGCTGTAACAATTAGCCAGAGCCCAAAGTGACACCTTCACAATGCTTGTTATGTCCAAACAACAACATTATTAACAATTAAAAGGATCCAAATAACTAAAAGAAAAATAAAGAAATCTTTAAATTAATAACTTCACATACATCATATTTTCTAAACTTAAAATGTCTTGTGTGTAAAAATCTTAATTTGCAAAGTAATTAGTAGCTAAAGCTTAAGCAGATTAATGTCGTAAAGTAAAAAGTGTAATATTTCCTAAAAGCATTGGATAAATCGTTAAAATAGTTAACTAAAAGTCATCAATAAACTATTTAGTTAGCTAAAAATATTGGATAGATGGTTAAAATAGCTTATAGCTTTTTGGATAAATTATTGAAACGTCTATCTTCTGCCATTCAAAGTTCACTTTTTGTAATCAATGTGTTTACATAACACCCAGTTTAAATTTGAGGTAACATGAGACGCAATGAGTGTCGAGAAAGGGATACTTGAGCTCAGGGTTGTGGGGGTATCTGTACAGTATGAAGGCTATAACTGACCTTTGACCTTTCCACACATAAAGCACAGAGCACAAGGCTGAATCATACATTTACATCCTTCAGATTCATCCTGGCTGGGCTGGCTTTAGTATGCTACGCAATTCCTGCAGCTGGGTGAGGAGAGCAAACTTTTGTGGCAAGGTCAAATCAATGCTCAAGTTAAGATAAAAGGGTATGAAAATATTGAGGATTTTTCTTGCTTGCCCCCTACAGAGAATTTCAAACAGCTGGAGGGATTCAGTCAGCTTTTCCAGGAGCAGATGAAAGAAAAGTTGAAAGGCTTCTCTGGAGAGAAAAGGCCAGCGAGCGAGGGGGTGAGACAGAAAGTGATTCAGCGTATACTTTGTGTCCCTGCATACTGAAGCCTCCCAGTCCTTCCTGCAGAAGCCTGGTAGGTTAAAGCTGCCTAAGCAACAGAACTGGAGTATCCTGTGTAATAAGGCTGCTTGTGTGCTGTGGTGCAGTATGAGGGGCTTTGCCTCCACAGTGCTGGCAGTACATGGTGCTGCTTGGGGCTACAATTCCTGCCAGGTCACTGCCAACGCTTCAGTGGCCTGGCAGGCAGCGCCTCATTTTCCTCCTTGTGAGTCTATTTACAGTATTTCACCTTATCTGCCTTCACAGCCATGGTGGAAGTAGAGAGTGCTGCATTGCTGCAACACAGCTGGCAGCATGCCTTTACTTAGAGCTCCTCCTGCTGGTGTAGATGGAGGTATTGCAGAATTTCTTATTTCCATGCTGTAATCCCTGTTGTAAATAAATAAAAAGGTGTGTGTGGGAGGGGATGAGGTCAGCCAGAGCAGCAGGAGCATCACTTCTGCTACACACCAGCTCCTGGGATAAATGAACACAGAGGGGTTGAAGTGCTGCTATGATTCAAAAGCATAATTCAACACATAACCTGCTTTCACTCCCAAATTGATTGGAAGATCTTTAAAAATCGGGACAAGCAAATCTACATTTTACTGTATTAAGATGCTAATGCGTTTTTGTCTGTGGCTGGAGTTATTTTCAGTATCGTTCATTATTTAGTGTGGAATGTCAAAGAAAGAGTCACAATTTCTCGTCATCTTCAGATGTTTTGTTTGGTCTGACCACTAGTCTAAAAGATTTTCTATTTATATGATATAAAAGCAGCAAATCCTCCACTCGAGAAGCTGAAACCAGAAACTATTTTTTTTTAAATTTGACTCACAGATGATCAAAACTGGTGGTGAATAATATTCTGTAAAATCCAGTGATTGATTCAGCACCAAACACAGCATGAAATAATTGTTGAACCACAGAAATGCTTAATTTTTTATCTGCAACACAAACTCTTCACTTATACGTGTGAACGTACATGTAGCTTACATGGTTTAAAAACACATAAATGTGACCTATAGCACACATGGGCTCTGTGTTTGGATGCAGGCATAATTTTGTCAGTGAATGAAAGTACAGCTGAGGCCATTAGTCAACTATTCAATCAGTCAACAGAATATTTATTTTGATGATCAAGTAATAGTTTGTTGTATTTTTAGCAAATATGCCAAAAATTCCTGGTTACAGTTGCTCATATGTTCCTGGTTCTCTTGTTCCTCTTTGACATTAAACTAAATATTGTTTGTTTGTCTAGCATTGTATGAAACAATTAGTGGATGAATCAAGAAAATAACAGGCAGATTCATCTGTATTGAAATACTTTTTACACATTTGTTACACACAGTCATCTCAGTGCTACACCTACAAGTGAGCTGTAACACTTACTGGAACAGAGACCACAATGAATGAATAAATGTGTCAGATTAATGCCAGCACAAACCCACACTGTGCTTCTTTATCACAGATCACACGGACGATCTGTGATAAAAGTCCCAGCCAGAGAAAAGAATAACAGTAGTAAAGGTCATTTGTTGTTTTTATTGATAGGTACAACATTAAGACAATAAATGGAGCATCATGTGACATAATGTTAACAAAGTACGTTGTTCATAAACAAGCAACAATAAGACAATTATTATTTCTATCTCTGTGTCCCCTGCTGCAGCTAGCAATCCTCTATCTGCCCAAGAGAAGTGTGTTGACACCTCCATTACATGTACATATACATTATATATACATACAATCTATATTAACAGTAGGTTGACAAAAAGTGCTGTAAATTCATGCTACAGTGCTGCGCTAAATCAAGACCTACAAGTACGCTTTTTCCACCTTAAAAACCCTTTGAAACTGTTGTTTTTTGAATTTCTGGTAAACTTTCTGCAGATCATTTCTTTACAAAAAAAAATCTTGTTAAAAAGAAAAGTATGTTTCCTTTTTATGCAAAAGAAGCCAGGCTGCAAATCAATTCATTTTAACCAGTGAAAGTTTGCTGATTCCTAATTTAATTAGGTGATAAAAAAGTGTTTGAAACATTTTGAGCAGTTAAATAAATCAAATGTGATGCTACAGTTTAATGTGTATAATTGTCATAAACATTAATCTCATACAACATGTTCAACAAGTAAATGTACAGATGCCTTCTACTGTATCTACATTATACAGTCCGATACTAAAAAGTACAAAAAATAGTTTATGCTTCATAGGAGACAGATGCGAACTGACCCACATCCTATGACGTTGGGAGACAAACAAACCCAGACATGTGTCCAGTTTCACAATGTAAAACATCAGTGGTATAAAAGTCGCCCCAAATAAGGCAAAACAATAACATGCCTCATGATGCATGACTTCAAATCAAAGAGTCACTCAACAGTGATATCAGCGAAAAAGAAAATAAAGTGCCTATTGTGTAAATAAGTTAGGATGAAGATCGCTGTGCATGAGTAGAGGTTTTCTAAGGGGGTTGTTTTCGGGGTGATGACAGGTGGAAGTGTCCTCAGGTGTACTCGGTGAAGGCGGTGAAGTGCAGAGTTCAGCGCAGTGAGTTGGTGGGCATACAGTCACACAGAGCCCTCCTCTCTGCCCTCAGCACCAGCATCTCTGTCTGCAGCGGACAACATGTAAACATCAGCTGAACTCAAGGGTCCTGTTTTTGTCACTGACACTTTTACAGCTTCAGTTTTGATTTTGCCTCTCAGGCAACACACAAGCTGCTCCACCGTCTTGGTGGAGGTTGTTGGGGCTGTATGCAGTGTGAGAGGAACACTGCAGACACTATTCAGGGCTGAAAAAGAGTCCTCAACTCCTGCTAAAAATGTAGCTGTTTATTTACAGATAATTCTCCTAAAGAATGTCAATCAAGCAAAGATACTGCAGTAAAAGACTTCTTTGTAGTAAAGACAGAAATAAAACATTATTTATTGAGTTTTAAGGTTCATTGTTGACATTAGAAATAGTATTCTGAAATATTTGTCAAATATTTTTATATATCATGTCAGGTGATTATAAGGGTAATGCATTATAAAAGGAGCAATTTTCTTTTTTTGATATACTAACATTATTGTGGAGAGCATGATAACCAATTTAACCATACTTTATTATTTGCTAGATAATATAAATTATAAAGGTAGATAGATAAAAGGTAGAAAATAACATTTATATTACTTGTATATACTTGGCTGAACTCATCAACTTACTGCAACAATTCAACGCTCTCCCAACGAGTTACTTAGAGCGAAAAGAAAGATCATACATCTTCAGTGAAGTGTAGTATAATAAATGTAAATTGTTTGTGTTGATTTGATTTGTATTGACAACATCTGTAGTAACACGTCCCGTGGTATACAGTAGAAGCTAAAGGTAAATGGAGCATCAAATAAAGTTAAATAATATACTCATTTCAATTTTTATATATGAATACATATTTATAGACATTCAGAGAGGCTTTATTGTTTTTGTTGTTATATATATATATATATATATATATATATATATATATATATATATATGATGTTTTCAGAGATAGAGAAAACATCAGAGGTCTCTGTCCAGAATAGTGCAGTCCTAGGAACAGCTAAGACACTGCGCAGAACCCTCAAACTCCCAGGCCTCTGGTAGAGGACCTGAGCTTGAGGATGACATAAAATATATGATATAGAAAAATAAAACCTATACTGTCACATTAAATACAATGTATGTAAAATGTTAAAGAGGTCATATTATGCTTTTTGGCTTTTTCCTTCTCCTTTATTGAGTTGTATACCTTTTTTGTGCATGTAATAGGTTTGTAAAGTGAAAAAGCCCAAAGTCCACACCAAAGGGAGTTCCCATCTCCCACAGACAACACTGCTCTGAACTGCCTGAAAACAGCTCCAGCGTTTACTTCCGTAACCTATGTGCGTCACTTTGTAACATGCGTCATAAGCTTAGCGGCTAGTAAGGCATTCAATCAAAAAAACCAGTGGAGAAATACACTGAGCTGCAGCACACAGTGACAAGATGTCCGCCTGCTGCCTCCCCTCACTCCCACCCTCCCTATAGAACTTTACCCTCCAGGTAGTCAATGGACATAAAGTTGTTACTGTGATGTAGAGACAGTGCACAGTTACATATGAAAAGTTACATATAAAAGATAAATTCTCACTCAGGTCCACTGTCCAATCATGTTCAGTGAACAAAGCCACAATTATGGCTGAAATGGTTTTGTTTTGGATCACACTACCTCAGGACCCGCCCTATTCTACTTCTATCACATCCCCTAAATAAGATTTTGAACCTGAAAATGAGCATAATATGACCTCTTTGACACCTTGAGTATATCCAGTGATCAGAATATAACCCAATAATCTATGGTTCGTCAGTTGTTACACAAAAGACTCATCAGCTGGTGAATCAAGAGAATTTAACACTTTGATAGCACTGGAGATGAAGAATTCCTCAAACAATATCAGAGGAAAGGGGAATCTGCCAAGAAAACAACAACATTTTGTGATACTTCACTTACCCTGGCATCAAGGTTGAACGCGGTCTTCTTTAGATCTTGCAGTGCCCTCTGCATAAACTCAAAAGCGTGACAGTCCACACATGGGCGACCTGCAAATGAGAGGAAAGAATTCACAAAATAAAGAGATTCACATATTAGTCGTTTCCATGTTAGAATGTAAATTTCTGAATTATTTGGTTTGGATTTTTTTTTATTTTACAATTAGACTTAATTTCAAAGAAGATTCCTGTGTCTTTCAATGTGAGCAGTAAGTAAACATATGTGGGCCTGCACTGTTAGTAGTTGGGCTTATAGTAATTTGCATTAAAAATTTTGTGTATCAGAAGTACAAACAGATAAGGTCATTGACCTAACCCAGAGATGTCGCTTAGCTACACAGCAATGTTTATCTAAGGTTTAGCCACCATGAGCTGCTGGTCTTATCAGACCAAGTCAGGCTGTAGTAGTAGAAACCCTGAGTTTATCAAACAAGGGTGTGTTTAATTGCTTTTCATTTGTCAGAGGACAAAGGGGTATTTATGACTATGTTATTTTATTAATTTTGCTTTCACTGCAGGGATCAACTTTTACATGTTGGTGTAAATATTGTTTCATAAGCTTGACTATAGTGACATAACTGTGGAGAAGGTTATAGATCCCAGCGGTCTACAATTGTGACCAATGGTGGCTGCAAAACAAACGCATGCATATTTGCCTTTAAACCTCTACATTGTTTGAATCTAGTCTAGATGATAAAATGGGTCTTAAAGTAGCAGTGCAGGCCCATTTTCATGTTGTGATGTAAACACCAATTAGGATGACCTACAATTCCCACACTGAGAAACCTCTGTGGGGACCTGCTATCATTAGGCTATAATACATTATCACTGTGGCAGACAAATGTCCCCCTAACAAAGCTTTAATATCCTGCACTGAACAGGCAGAACAAATCAAATAGCATATTGCCATCCACCTACTTTCGGCAGGGATGACAGTCCCGGTCTCCTGATCCGCATCAGCTGCACCGAGACAGAGGAGCTGGACCGCCAGAAGGAGGACCGCTGCCTGCAGATATCCACTGGATGCCATACCGATGATGTGATTAATTACCTGTGATATGAGAAATGCAATTTGCAAGTGTGCGGTTTGCAAAAATACAAGGGAAAATGTCCTGCACGGCCGTCGGTCAATGAAATAACAAAATCTGTTAGGCTTTGTTTAGAAAAAACTCCAGTTTTCCTCGGTAAATATGTGTATGTATTCAACAGCAGTCTACAGCGCAGGATAACAGTGTATTTAACAACCTCGATGTTAACATACCGTGAATCAGTCGATGATATGTTGCAGAATCAGCGCAAGATGCCCACCAAGGATTGATTTATGTAGATCAGGAGAGTGCGCATGCGTGTAGCTCAACCCAAATTTGCCTTGGGGACCAGAATCAAGACTTCCGGTGACAACATTCAAAATAAAAGCCTTTAACAAAAGGGCAGTTAATAAACAGACTGTATATAGTTTTATTTACATGTTTAAATACATGGTTTCAGCCATGGATGTTTTATTAATAATCATTATCAACAATAATCAATAAATGGTGGGAAGTAAATACATAGCCTACACTTAAGTGCTGTACAATATCTGAGTATTTCCACTTTCTGCCACTACTCAACATTTCAGAGGAAAATATTGTTTCACTATATTTATTTTACAGCTTAGTTACTAGTTATTTTTTCTGACTATAACTGAACATAAAAAAATAGGATTATTTTATAAAATATGTATACGGTGTAGATTAAAGTACACAACGTACAGTATATAAAGTACTGTAGTACAAATCTGCTCCATCTTGATCAGCTGGCACATTAAAATACTGCTTACATGGTAAGACATAATGAAAAATAATCAGTTATAAATTTATATAAAAACAGAGCTATTTGCCATAATATATTCACCTACACAGTATATATACAAAATGCATTGCACATATACAGTGTACATATTGTATAACTGCAGATGTATTTCGTCATTTCTTTTTGAGACGTCAAAAAAACTTCACTGAATAATATCAAAGTCAATGAAAATACAGCCACATTTTGTGTAAGCCTACATGTTTGTCATGCCTATTCATTCACACTAAGGCAATGCCTCTTCAACACAGGGTATCTCGATAATAAAGTACAACCAAATATTGTCACACCAGTGTTTTTCTTTATTGCATATTCCCAAAGTAAACCAATTTACCATATTAAAACACCTGCAACCATAGACTGTATATAAAAAGCCTGCAACACATGGGGAAGGGGGGATGGTAATTGTGCGCGCAAACAATAAATATGAAATCACTATTGTATATAATACTTTACTCAGTTTATTTTACAATTACAATTAGGCCTAAGTGAGCAAAATTTAAATAATATGCCCATTTTCGTCACTTATGTACCCATACACAGTTGCAATGTGAAATGAAATGTTCTTGTCAGCTTTTACAGAGGAGCAATAGAAAGCATCCTGACTGGAAACATCACAATCTGGCATGGGATGTGCACGGCCCAGGACCGGAGGGCTCTGCAGCGGGTGATTAAAATTGCTCAGATCACCGGTACCCATCTCCAGAGCATCAGTGATATCGGTGAGGTGAGGTGCCTACGTGGACACCAAAGGATACTAAAGGACAGTATGCACCCAGCAACAGCCTGTTCACCCTGCTACCTTCTGGGAAGAGATATAGATGTTTCTGCTGCCGCGCCACCAGACTGCAGAGCAGCTTTTTCCCTCAAGCTATCAGGCTCTTAAACTCTAATTCATCCTCAGCACTGCTCTATTGATTATAGTTTATTTCTGCTTACCGTTTTTATAATTGATTCTTTAGTAATGTATATTGTCTTCTATGTAGCAGAAGGGAGTTATAAAACTCAATTTCACTCTATAACTTGTTATATTGTGACAATAAACCTACCTACCTACTGAACCCTTTTAACTTTATTATCACAACATACGACGTATGGACAAACCAAATGAAGTTATAGCCACTGTATTAAAGGTGAAATACACCTTTTATTTCTAGTTATTTAGATTTTACATGGTTCAGTGGTTGATACATGCCCCCCCACTACGGCGTGGGCGGGGTCCTGACTGTTTTCTTTTAGGTAGCCCGTTAAAATGCCCGAACTCAAAACACTTCTTTTTCCAAGATGGCGTCGATGAAGGACAGCGACACCGGCCTGTGGCTTCACAACAAACTGGGATCCACGGACGAACTCTGGACGCCCCCGAGCATCGCTTCTCTCCTCACCGTGTCTGTAATCGACAACATACGGCTGTGCTTTTCGAGCTTATCGCCGCCCGTGAAGCTAAAACTCCTGCTCGGGATGCTGCATCTTCCCCGGCGGACCGTTGACGAGGTGGGTCGCTGTGCGCTAGCTAGCTGTGTTAGCCTGACAGGTCATAACGTAAGCTATTATCTTAGATACACGTCCAAGAAAATAGCTCAGTCTTCAAGCTCGATGCGCTAAATTAAAACACTGCTCCTCTTGAGGGTGTTTTAGACTGCTGGTTAAATGTGTTAGCTCGTTATTATCATATTTAGTTAGCGTTAGCTCGCTATCGTAACCACAGGCGACGGTTAATATCGTCAGCTATCGTGAGAAACATCAAGTTATTCCTGCGAGCTATCCTGCTGTTTTTACCTCCGTTACTTGAGAAAAACACTTGTGCGAATTTACTCTAACTTTAGGCAGCTACACGATCAACTTAACGTTAACACTGTGACGGAAAATTGCGTTTTTCCCCGCGGTGGTTCAGCAGCTACAGCGGGTCACATTAGCATAGCGGCTCTCGTTCAGACATTGTGGTGGGATGGGCTCCACAGAGCAGGAGGGCGGTACCAGCAGCTACAGTCCCACAGATCACTTGCGAAGCTGCTTAATATAATGTTAAGTGTCCGTCATCAGTGTGCATGTCCACTGACAGTTTGTGAAACACAGACAAAACTATCTGAAGTGAGATCTCATTAGTCTCTAATTGTCTAAATGTAGTAACGGATATATTGTGCAGTCTGGTGAAATGAACGTTATATTGCTGCTTAACTATAAGTAAAGAGATTAAAAGTATACAAAATAATACAAATAACATACTGGATAATTAATAAGGAATGTGCAAAAAAAAATCACAATATGAGCAATAAAGAATTAGTGCAATGTACACATTTCAAGGTTAAGTGTTGGGGACTCGGGCCATGTTGGAAAGAAAGTGTTCTTGTGGCGAGAGGTTTTGGTCCTGATAGACCGCAGCCTCCTGCAGAAGAAGTATTAAGATGTTTTATTTAAGTAAAAGTAGCAGTGCATCTGGACAGAAGTGTTACGGATGAGAAAATGTTATATATCTATTGGCATTATTACTGATAGATTGGGTTACCGTCCTACAAACTCCACTACATTTTTTGTTTTTCATCTGTTTTTTCTTTCCGGCTTTATTGCTGAAACGCGTATTACCTGTGACAGAAATACAGTCATCGGAAACGGTTTGTATTAAAGGGCAGCAGACCTTGAGCCGATCCACCCAGTCAGATCAACCAGTCATCACGGCGGGTGATCGCCCCCAGAGGCGAGGAAAGAGAGCGGGCATAGGAGCCATGCTGGCCCAGCTTGGATTTAAGGCTGCTCCTAGCTAATGTCTGGTCTGGACTTCAGGGGACTCAGGCTGCCAGACATCTTTACACAGACCTGACACATCAACAACCCAGATCCAGCACTCTGCAGGCGGAGCATGTTCCGAGCTGTCAAAGGACAAGACTCTGGCAAGATGAGAGGCGGTGGACTCTGTGTTTCCATCCATGATGCTTGGTGCTCAAATGCAGTCAAAGTGGACCCTGTTTCCTAAATGTTAAATTTTTTTATGTGAAGATAAAAAAAACATGTAATCTTCACTGTTGTTGCTGCTGTCAAAATGTGCACTGCAGAATAATTTTCTGTGTGAATACTTTTCTGTATATAAATAAGTGTATATATTTATATGTTTATATATTTTAGAATATGGTAAGTTCCATGTGTAGCATGAATGGACTACACATTTTCATTTTGTAGTACAACTGTGTGTTGTATAATAATAAACTACTTGGAAAAAAGCCAGTCACAAAGTCCAAGGTGACTGCTTAAAATTTTTTTCCCAACAAACATCTGGAACTAAAGAATTCAAAGATACTTAACTATCATCATGTAAGACAAAGAAAATTTGTCATTATTTTTTACAGTTCAATAAATAAGAAGAAAAGAAGAATCTGCAAACGTAAAAAAATTTAGTCTGTTAAACGGTAATAAGTTATTCAGTGATAATTTACTGTCCGTGAAGTACGTGATACTAATATTTAGTTTTTTAAAGCGGTTTCACTAACGGCACTGTCCTCTCTCGCCAGATGAAGGAGGCCCTGTCGGAGATAATCCAGCTGGCTACTGTGGATTCAGAGCCCTGGGTGCTGATGGTTGCAGACATCCTCAAGTCCTTCCCAGAGACCGGCTCTCTCAATCTGGACTTGGAGGAGCAGAATCCAAATGTGCAGGATATTCTTGGAGAGCTCAGGGAGAAAGGTAGGGAATGTGGACTCCTTATTTTAAATTTATTTAGCTGTAGTGGCCCTTCACTGGCCGCAATGGGAACATTGACTCCATAGGTTAAAAATTGTATATATAACGACGCACCTCTTGGCCTATTAATCAGCCTGGTGCTCTGAAAAGGAACTGAAATTATCAAATTAGAACTGCTCTTTAATTACGTTTGGGGCCCGTACATACATTTTGATATTGTACTGTTTAGACAAGAAGATGTGTGTAATTAATAATTGAATTAAAAATTGTTCCCTGCAGCAACTCAGTATTTTACTCATGAATATAGTCGTAGAGTTTTGTGTAAGGTGGGAGCATAGATTTCAGTTTTATTTGTGTGTAATAAATGCACATACTCAGTTGTATTTCTACTACTGTTTTAGTAAAACAAACATGGCGTACTTCAGCTCACGAGTGTGAGAATTTCCTTTCTTGATAACTCACTGATTATTGTACTGATAATATGAAACATGCTAAGATAACTGTGCTTATAGAGAAGATTTAAATACAAGATCTTTATGCAGACTCACTGCCGTACACTTCCTGACGTTTGCTTTATGTTCAGGTATTTCTTAATCACACAGTTCTAATCTCATTAAGTTATTCAGGCCTTCATAACGATTATTCAGCATCACATATAGTGGTTTCACTCAGGTGTCATGACAACCAGCTGTTTAAAATTAGTATAAAACTGCACACATTTGAACAGCCAGGGAACATCTGCAAGTCTGGTATCAAACTGAGTGGTAGATGCTCAAAGCAGCTACATTATCTAAAGGTAAATTTATTATTTTTTTAATCCCGTCTCTTCCCCAGTGAGCGAGTGCGAGGCCTCTGCCATGCTTCCTCTGGAGTGCCA